TATTTTTAGAATGCTTAACTTTTAGGTGTGCTCGTCCTTAAGTTATTCAAAAAAATTCATACAGACTTCCGACTTAGTTTTGTGAGATCTCTACAAAAAAAGGAAAATAATTCTTTTCACCGGTTTTTTTTTAGTCCAATACCAATAGTTTTTTACTTGAAAATAACACAAAAATTGGAAAAAATGTTATAGAATATTTTCGATTTATTTTAACGTTGTGTGTACAAATCACCGAGAAGAAATAATTTTTTCTCCTAAAAACTCTATTTACAAAAAAATCGAATACCAATAAAGTTTTATAATTGAAAATCGAACAACATATTACAAAACTCGAAAAATGCTATATAACATTTTCGATTTATTTTCACGGTATTTGTGGAAATCACTTGGGAAAAGGATTTTTTGATCAAAAAATATTTTCACAAAAAACACAAACTCATGGGACTTTTCTATTTGCAATTATTAATAAAATATCACAAAAATCGGGAATGTTATATACTATTTTCGATTTAATTTCATGTTACTTGTACAAATCATTGAAAAAAATTTAACCTATTAATTATTAATTTCTATTTGAAAATTTTCCCAAAATATCACAAAAACCATCAATATTCATATTAAATTAACATTCCAAATGCTCTCGTGAGATTTAGCTCTGTTAACATTCTTCTTTTCTGCTTTGTATTTTGCTTTCGCTGTTAAGTATTCCAAATTTTTGTCGCTCTTAAAATGCGCTTCGCCAGTTTTGTTGGCTCAAAAAATGTGGCATTCACAGTTCTTGGACCTTCTCTATCAATATACGTTCTCTGGTTCAACCGCACTTTGGAGGAACACTAGCGAAAGGTGGTGGGGAACTGCCATCGGAATTGGGATAAACACATCCAAATGTTCCTGTTGGCCTATCGCTCAGCTGTACATGAAACTACTGGCCAATCGCCGGCTAGGACGCTCTTTGGAAGTGATTTAAAACTGCCGTGTCATTTAGTTTTCGGAAGAGGTGCTGCCCCCACAATGGACGAAGGTAGTCATTGGAAAACGCTGCAAGATGACATGGATAAGTTACACCATCATGTGAGGCAACATACCCAGCTAATGAGTGATAAGATGAAGGATCGATTTGATTGTGCTGTGAACTCTGAGGGATTTAAGAAAGGTGACTTAGTACTTCTTTATAATCCGCAAAGGAAGAAAGGGATTTCCATACAAGGTGGTTAAATGGCTTAATGACGTGGTGTATCGTATACAGTAATGCAAAACAGGACAGGCGAAAATCAAAGTAGTTCACCTGGACAGATTGGCTCAGTTTGGATAGAAGAATATTGTGTCTAATCGGGACGATCAGACTTAAGCGGAGGACAGTGTGACGGATATTGAAAAGTCGCGATACCACTAGCTACTTGTAGAGTTATTGCACCTGTTACTTTTCATACTTGTTGTTATTTTATTCATTTAATTTAGTGTTCATAGAAAATATTGAATTGTCAAAAACGGAAAAATTATGAGTAGTGAGATTTTGAATAAAGAACAGATAAGTTGGTTGACGAACTTTATTCGACAATTCAGTGATCGAACTCAGATACAAAGAGACCTTGAGAAGGACGTTACATTATTATACTATAATTAATTTTTTTTAGATTCTAATTAAAATGTTTGCAATTTTAGTGAAACCTTGCAGAATATTTTTAATTTTTGTACAAAGTTCGATCCAAAACCTGAGATCTACCACATTTTTTTCCAGATTATACCACACAAATTTATTTTAAAGTCCGATCACTGGAGACTGCTCGCAAAATTGCAATGTTTGTGGGCAAAACGTCCAACTTGATTGCGGATTGATTTGAACCAACGTTTTCGGCTTGCAATATGTCAATGAGATGTATTTGTTGTAATTCATTATGTCATTTACTACCATTATGCGTAGGCCAATTCATCAAATCATTTCATGCGTTTGAGTAGAAACTGAAAGAATGAACACCATTTCATGATTTCAATTAACGCGAAATAGAGTTTATGCACTTAGTTTTTACTCATTCGTGAATTGGACTACGCATACATGTGATACTTATGCTTTTAATTTATAAAGTAATTTTATGTTTTTATACTCTTGCTCCCTCATGAATATATGAATTCGTGATAAGAATATATGAATTCGCCTTGGAAGATAGAAAGCGAGTAAGAATAAATGCCGAACAAAGGAATTTGTCTTCTTTCAACTTAAATAAATGCATTTTGCAAACAAAAGTGCGTACGTTACTTAGTGCCTTGGTAATGGCGAATTCGTAAGGATCTATTGATTGTATCATACAAATTTTCATTTATTTGTTAAACATACAATTACTTCCATTACAACCCGGTCCTATGGATGCTAGAAGCGCGAATTCATTTAAGGTGGTGTTACCGGAAAATGAATAAATAAATTATATGTATATCAGAAAATTTATAAGATGAAATGAAATTATTGTTTGATTTCTAACCAAACCTATGTATGTAATTCAATCGCCTAATGGTTTGCCGAACCGTAAACATATGTTTACACATCCAATTTCGTGAGTAGGTACCTGGTACGTTTAAGAAGCTTCACTTCTATCATTTGTACGGTGTTACACACGCATTTTATTTTGGTAGGAAAAATCTCACTCGTTCTCATGTCTGTTTACACGAGGAGTTCTCACGCGGTTTGAAAGTAAAATATGTAATAATATATAAACTTATGCAAGAATTACAGAATACAAGATTGCAGTGACAAAACAAAACAAAAGAAGAAAAAGGCGTGAATAAGTGGAAATAGAATAAATGACTTTGTAGTATTCGCCAAGAATAAAGTAACGGTAATGTTGTGTTCTCTACATTGCGATAATTATGTAGTATTTTGTCATTCAGGTGTTGTGAAGAATGTTTAATAGACGCAAAAAATTACTTTTGGGTCTCCTGTCCCCCTATGAAGATAGAAAACAA